CCTTGCTTCTCATGTGGGCATTTATTGCTATAAATTTTCCTCTAGACACTACTTTTAATGTGTCCCAGAGATTCTGGTACGTTGTGTCTTCGTTCTTGTTGGTTTCAAAGAACATCTTTATTTCTGCCTTCATTTCATTGTTTATCCAGTTGACGTTCAGGATCCAGTTGTTTAGTTTCCATGAAGTTTTGTGGTTCTGAGTTAGTTTTTTAATCCTGAGTTCTAATTTGATTGCCCTGTGGTCTGAAAAATTGTTTGTTATGAGTTTTGTTCTTTTGCATTTCTAAGGAGTAATTTACTTCCAATTGTATGGTCATTTTTGGAGTAGGTGCAATGTGATGCTGAGAAGAATGTATATTCTGTGGATTTGGGGTGAAAATTTCTGTACATGTCTATTAGGTCTGCTTGGTCCAGTTCTGAGTTCAAGTCCTGGATGTCCTTGTTAATTTTCTGCCTTATTGATCTGTCTAACATTGACAATGGAGTGTTAAAGTCTCCCACTATTATTGTATGTGAGTCTAAGTCTCTTTGCAGGTCACTAATAACTTGCTTTATGTACCTGGGTGCTCCTTTATTGGGTGCATATATGTTTAGTATCATCAGCTCTTCTTGTTGCATTGATCCTTTTACCATTATGTAATGCTCTTCTTTGTCTCTTTTGATATTTGGTGGTTTAAAGTCCATTTTATCAGAGACTAGGATTGCAACCCCTGTTTTTTTTTTGCTCTCCATTTGCTTGATAAATCTTCCTGCATCCCTTTATTTTGACCCTATATGTGTCCTTGCACATGAGATGGTTTCCTGAATACAGCACACCAATCAGTTTTGACTTTTCATCCAATTTGCCAGTCTCTGTCTTTTGATTGGGGCATTTAGCCCCTTTACATTTAAGGTTAATACTGTTATTTGTGAATTTAATCCTGACATTTTGATGCTAGCTGGATGATTTGCCTGTTAATTGACGCATTTTCTTCAGTGTGTCAATGGTGTTCACCATTTGATGTGTTTTTGGAGTGGCTGGTACTGGTTGTTCCTTTCCTTGTTTAGTGCTTCTTTCAGGAGCTCTTGTAGGGCAGGCCTGGTGGTGACAAAATCTCTCAGCAATTTCTTGTCCATAAAGGATTTTCGTTCTCCTTCACTATGAAGCTTTATTTGGCTGGATATGAAATTCTAGGTTGGAAGTCCTTTTCTTTAAGAATGTTGAATATTGGTCCCCACTCTTCTGGCTTATAGGGTTTCTGCCGAGTGATCCCCTATGAGTCTGACGGGCTTCCCTTTGTGGGTAACCCAACCTTTCTCTCTGGCTGCCCTAAGCAATTTTTCCTTCATTCAACCCTGGTGAATGAAGATTATGTGCCTTGGGGGTGCTACTCTTGAGGAATATCTTTGTGGTGTTCTCTGCATTTCCTGTACTTGAACCTTGGCCTGCCTTTCTATATTGGGGAAGTTCTCCTGAATAATATCCTGAAGAGTGTTTTCCAGCTTGGATTCATTCTCTCCATCACCTTCAGGTACACCTATCAAACGTAGATTAGGTTTTTCCACATAATCCCATATTTCTTGGAGACTTTGTTCATTTCTTTTCACTCTTTTTTCTCTCATCTTGCCTTCTCGTTTTATTTCCTTGAGTTGATCCTCACTCTCTGATATCCTTTCTTCTGCTTGGTCGATTTGGCTATTGAAACATGTGTATACTTCCCGAAGTTCTCGTGCTGTGTTTTTCAGCTGCATCAAGTCATTTATATTCTTCTCTAAACTGTTATTCTAGTTAGCATTTCATCAAACCTTTTCTCATGGTTCTTAGTTTCTTTGCATTGGGTTAGCACGCATTCTTTTAGCTCTGAGAAGTTTGTTATTACCCACCTTCTGAAGCTTGTTTCTGTCAATTCATCAGATTCATTCTCTGTCCATCTTTAATCCCTAGCTTGTGAGGAGTTGTCATCCTTGGAGGAGGAGAGGCGTTTTGGTTTTTGGTGTTTTCATCCTTTTTGTGCTGGTTTTTCCTATCTTAGTGGCTTTATCTACCTGTGGTCTTTGTAGTTGGTGACTTTTGGATGGGGTGTCTGAGTGAATATCCTTTTTGTTGATGTTGAAGCTATTTCTTTGTTTCTTAGTTTTCCTTCTAACAGTCAGGCCTCTCTGCTGTAGGACTGCTGGAGGTCCACTCCAGACCCTGCTTGCCTGGGATCACCCTCAGGGCCTGCAGAACAGTAAGGGTTGCTTCCGGTTTCCTCTTCTGTTATCTTTGTCTCAGAAGGATACCCACCTGATGTCACCCTGAGCTCTCCTTTATGAGGTGTCTTTGCATATATGGCAGTCAGGGAGCTGCTTAAGGAGACAATCTGTCCCTTAAAGGATCTCAAGTGCTGTGCTGGGAGTTCCATTGTTCCATGCAGAGCTGATGGGATGGCATATTTAAGTGTGCTGCAGCAGAACTTATAACTGCCTCTTTTCCCAGGTGCTCCGTCCTAGGAAGTCGGGCTTTATCTAAAAGTTCCTGATGTGCTGCTGCCTTTTTTCATAGATTCCCCTCTGTGTTGTTCTTTCTGGGAATTACACTCCAGAGCTGTTACTATTCGGCCATCTTGGATCCTCCTCCGACAATTTGATTTTAAACCTAACAACATTATATGTTTGGAACAGATTTTTTCATTAATAACATGAATAAATTTTCTATGTTTCTATCAATGATAACTCTCCATGCTTTGTTAATAAGCAGATATCTTTCTGCTGATTTGTATACCTGTTGTGACATATTTTTCTGATTCAAATAAGATTTATTTATTTATTTTAACTTTTAAGTTCTGGCGTAGATGTTCAGGTTTGCTTGTAGGTTAACTTGTGTCCTAGGGGTTTGTTGTTCAGATTATTCTATCACCCAGGTAATAAGCATAGTACCCAACTGGTATTTTTTTTGATCCTTTCCTTCTTCCTATCCTAAACCCTCTTATGTAGGCCCTAGTGTCTTTTGTTCCCATCTTTGTGACCATGTGTTCTCGTTATTTAGCTCCCACTTATAAGTGAGAACACGTGGTATTTGGTTTTCCGTTTCTGCATTAGTTTGCTAAGGATCTTGGCTTCTAGCTCCATCTGTGTTGCTGCAAAGAACATTATCTCATTTTTTTATGACTGCATAGTTTTCCGTGGTATATATGAAACGCATTTTATTTTTTCTGTCTACAAGTGGTGAGTATTCAGGTACATATTCTGACATATTTTGAAAGAGGATCTCTTTATAAGCTCCTTCTTTGTTTTCTTCCCCTGTAACACTAGCACTCCAGTCTTAAGACTTTTTACTAGATTTCTAGATTTCCAACAAGTTTTGTTACTATTACAAATGTTATCTTTAATAAATTATTGTTTCTCTTTGATCGTTATTGACATAAAGGAATACTATTGGTTTCAGTATAAATGTTTTATTGTCTAGTGACCTTATGTCTAGCAAATGTGTGTTATAAAATTTGTCATAAATTCTAAAGATTTTTATTTTAAGGCTGCTGGATTCTCTTTGTGAAGAGTTGTATTATTTTGAAATAAGGATAGTTTATGCTTCTCTGAAATTTTTAAATATTTTTTTCCTTTTATATCACTGAATATATTAGCTAGGATTTTTAGAACAAGTTTAAACTGAGACTGTGATCGTTAATATGCTTAATGTTTTTGCAGGTATTTCATAAATATTAGGCAAGGAGATTTTTTAATACTCTTGATTTGTTCAGATTCATTTCTTAAACCACAAATGAGTGATCATTGTCATCAAATATTTATCTGCATATATTTGCCAGATATTGTAGCTTTTATTCTTTGATAATCTCATGTATTTAATGATTTTATAATTAAAATATTTAAACAATTTTTAATAACTATGATTGTATAGAAAAAAACCACAAACTGTTTTTTTTCTATATTCATATTCAGTGCAGGATATTTCTGTGAACAGATACATAGGTATTTTTCCTCAGATGGAATAATTTTATGGCACCAGATGCCCTACAATTTAACTGAATTTTGTCATTATCTCTTTTGAGTAACCTCAGATCCCACAGGTTAAGGCTTCAGCCTTATAAGATTGCCCTCCACTTCAGATGCCAATCACAAGTCCAGTTTGTTACTTGTGTTTCTGAATGAATGGGTGTAAATCAGAGGCTTTAACAGTCCCCTCTTCAGGTTTAGTCATTTGCTAGCATGGCTCACAGAACTCAGAAAAGTGCTTTACTTTCTATTACCCATAAATTATAAAAGGATATAACATAGGTTATAGCCATATGGAAAAGAAACGTAGATCCATATGAAGAAAGGAACACAGAGCTTCCATGCCATCTCTGGGTGCAGCATATTCTATGTTCTTAGTAACCCAGAAGCTCCACAAACCCTTTTATTTTAGGGCATTTTGGAGGCTTTATTATGTATGCATACTTGATTGATTAAATTATTGGCTATTGGTTATCAACTCAACTGTTAGTCCATCTCCTTTCCACAAAGGCCTGGTTGGTACTGAAAGTTTAAATTATCTAGTCACGTAGTTGATTTATCTGGCAACCAAGTCTCTGCAACCCGTGATTATCTTGGGAATTTCCAAATACTACCTTATTAACACAAACTCAGGTGTGGTTGAATGGGCTTCTTATAAATAATGAAAGATGGCTCTTTTACCTTTGTTGCTTCTGTCACTTAGGAAATTACAAAATAACCATCTAGCATCAAGATGACAGGATCAAAACCACCCATAACAATACTAACCTTAAATGAAAATGTGCTAAATGCCTCGATTAAAAGACACAAAATGGCAAGCTGAATAAAGAGCCAAGATCCATCGGTAGGCTATCTTTAAGAGGGTCATCTCATGTGCAAAGATACACATAGGCTCAAAATAAAGCGATGGAGGAAAATTTACCAAGCAAATCGAAAACTGAAAAAAGCAGGGGTTGACATCCCAGTTTCTGACAAAACAGACTGTAAACCAACAAACATAAATGTTTTTTGTGTTTTTTTTTTAGCAGATTGATGTCAGAAGTGGGATTCAGAGTGGGACTCCAGTGACTCCCAGGAGCACGAAGTGACCTACAGGTACTCATTAGGCCTCATTGTTTCCATTTATTTCTCACAGAAACTGAGGTAATGAGTTAGTTCTGTCCTGGATTTGAGCTTTATAAATTTGTGTTTCGAGCTCTCTGACTTTATTTGATCAATATTTACTGGAATTGGTCTAGGATTGAACTGGATGCAAGAAATCACTAGATTGTCTCCAGTTAGAGATGTCAGGTATGTCCAATTTGAGAATTAGTTTTTTCAAATTTAAAGAGTCTGGGATGCTACTTTCTGGGACATTGGATAACTCTATATACAAAAATTAGTAGCTTGCATTACTGTAACTGGAACATTGCTAAAACAGAATGAAAGCTATAAGATCTGTTTCTATTTGTTCATATATCTGTATGTATGATATGTATGTGTGTTTGTCTTCTGATGACTTAGTATCTTATTTTTTAAGGAATCCAAACATAATTGCTAAAAAATAATTGAGTTAAAGAGATGTAATATTTCCATGTAAATATGTCTTTTCAATATCAGAAGGCTTTAATGTTCTTATCAGGAATGAAAAGCTGAGGCTGGGGGAAATCTTTACAAACGAGATGTTAACTCTCAGTCCTAGCCCAAACCAACAAACCAGCAAGCAAACCAAAAACACACAAGAGGATAGAGATGAAATTTTGCCTCATCTTCAGTTCCTTATTACAGAGACATTAGAAATTTTTGGAACCATTAGTAGATATTTTATTTTCCACACTGACAAACTGCACTACGAAAAACCACATGCTTCTAGAAATAATTATTCATATATTTGCAATCTATAGGATGTTGCTGTGACAGAGTTCCCAATTGCTTGCTTCCTAGTGTTTACTGGAAAGTAAGGTCACTAGGAAATCTGATTTCTAACTACTATATGTACCTAAAATTACTATAAGTGAAATAAGGAAAACAACTCTACACCAATATTCAAGGAAGTTCAGATGTGTGCATAGTAAGGACAAGCTGTAGAGTATGAGGATGTTTTGTTTTGGTAAGAAAAAATGAGTAATTTCTATTCTAAAATAGAATGACATATTTTTCCAAAATGTGAAGAGAAAACATATAGGACAAAAACTGAATGGATGTGAAAGTTGTAGAAGGTATGTGGAAGATGAATCTTGTGAAAGAAGTTTTATGCGTGATCAAGCTGGCTAAGATTAGGTGGGAATTATAAATTTTTCTAAAAAATGAACATTAATATTAAAAGTATGCTGATGCAAAGGTAGAATTTGCTTCTCTTTATTAAAACAACATGATTTCTTAGAGTATTAGTCTACTCTTAATAGAAAATTGTAAAAGGTTTGCTTTCTAGATAATAGACCTAGAAAACAAAGATTTTATGTTTTACCAAGTTAATTTCCTGTGCTTTATGTTGTTTTTATTATATTTTTATTCACTTAAAAAAACTGAGTCCTCTTTGTTAAAAGAGCTAAGTTTTCTTCAACTATGTAAATTTATTTCCTTTTTCAGACTTAATTATCATGACCTTGGTTAAATTAATTACTGCTGTTCACAGTAACCTGAGATTCTATTTTGTCAGGTGTTTTAAATGTTTGATAAACTTTCCAAAAATCAAATTCTAAATTAGGTATTTTTCTTGACCTCAAATTAACTTTAGGATTTTTTTAGATGAGCCCTTTGATGCATTTTCTTATAAAAGAGATACATTAAACTGATTGGGCTTATTTGATATATTAAATTATGTAGGAAACATTATTAATAAGTAATGCTAAACCTTCATATTATATTTGTTTGGATGTGTTATTAATATGTATTTCAGAAAGTGTAAGAAATAGTTCTGGGGTAACACCATCAGTCATAATTCTGGTGATTACCTTAAAATGTTGTATGCTGCAGAACTAACCAAACTTCCTGGTCAATTGCATCATTATAATAACAATACTCTCTCATCATATCTTAAATTATAGCTATTTTAAATGTTGTCATTAACAGATGCTTATTTGCTTATTCTAATACTTTCTTGAGTAGCTATAAACCTAAAGTGCTTTATCTTCAAAGAAATTCATGGAAGGAATGATAACAAGTGTAAGTGTCTGATAACTTTAAGGTCTTGTCATTAGACTGAGTAAGAATTTCTAGATCTCTAAAGAGGAAACTGATTATCCATAAAATTGCTAACCCAACATCAAGCAGAATAAGAATTAATTAAATACCTAAGAAATAATTTCACAGGTTTTCATAAGTCAGCCACTACTGAAATTGTTGAGTTATGAAATTTGAATGAAATCCATAAGAATGCATCAATTCAAATTACTTATAATAACATTATAAGAAACAGTTCTATACACCTGAAATGGAAGAAAAAAAAATTGACGTTTATGAGGACGTAATTCTAATGTTAAACGTGGATTCATGGAGAGCAGGAATGATTATTTTGTCCTTTCTGAATTCTTAAACTTTCTGTTAACAAATGCCCTGCACTCAGTGACTCATGGTAGAGATAAAATAACCTAAATTATGCAAAAAATTGGTGGACTGTTCAAAGCTTACTAAAAGAATTTATCACCAACGTTTGGATTATCAAACCTGTAATTCTAGTAAGACAACAAAAAACTCAGGTGACGTATTTTCAGTACCTGCTGGGCTATTTGAATACCTACAGATGGATTTTATTCAACTACCATCTTTCATGCATGTTTTCTGGTTACATAGAAGCCCTCCCATTTAAAAGGCTGATACTATAATAGTAGCTAAAAAGTTATCAGAAAATGTTTTTTCCTTGTGGGACACAGTTTTCTCATAAAATCTCCAGTGATGGAGTTACTTATTTCACTGGAAAATTTGTAAAATAGTTAAATAAGTTATTATAAATGCAAGGGCATTAAGCAGAGTTAACTGAATTGATTGACTTGCTTTGGGTAAAGATATTGCTGATTGATGGCAATCAGATCCACTCTCACTGGAAAACATAGGTTGACCATTTCTGAAGTAGTTACTGGAAGGCCTATACCTCTAATCATAGAACCATACATGTTTCCCACGCTTAAAAACTTTGCCATAATTCGGTAGTTCAAAGCTTTAATGCATTGCACCAAAGCATATTTCCACAAAGTAAAATAACATTTTTGTGACCCATCTACTGATGATGACCAGATCTAAAACCCAGATATTAGGTCTTTAGGAAACAACACCAGATAAAGACTGCTCCTGAACTCTGAAGAGACCACATCAAGCTCTTCTCTGCAGCAAAACTTTAAGGCCTGGAGACTTGGTTCTGCATCTCTGATCTCAAAATAACTCCTCCAGATTCCTAAATGGCATGCCTATTGGATACCCTAAAGTAAGACCAACCAGGAAAGTTTTTCCTCAGAAGCAGATGACATCCTAGGCATTGACAGCTTCCCAAGATCACACATCAAGTCTTCTCTTCCACCATGGAAGTCATACCTTTATTCCTTCTTTCCCTGTTTTTTATTTTCTAATCCCTTCCCTTTCCTTACAAGAAAATGCATGGGACTATAACCAGTACATGGCTTTAGCTAAGGCTTATGCTCTAACAATAAGCTGGAGACTTTGTTGAGTTTGTGGGTTAATGCCCCCAAATCAGTAAAAATTTTACTAATGTATGCCATTACCTCTCTGTGTTCCCAATGAGAGTCACCCTGAATCTACAAAAGTAGAGTGGAAAGTTATCCTTGATATTCTAGACATCATTGCTAATTGTATTTTAAAATTCACTGAAAATAGTACTTTTACCTTTCCAATTAGTATTCTAATTGCCATCAAACAGAAAATCTGTACTAGTGATGGCAGCAAAATGTATATTATCTTTGAGACATCATGTAATCAAGACTTGAAGATTACCTATGAGATTATGCATAATTGGTTGTATAATATTACTTATTTAAATCTAGTAAGGTCTCTAAATGTGGCTATTGACCCTTTCAGTCTGCTACAAAAAGACCACAAAAAAGTAAGTTCCCACTAGATCTTGTTCAACAGCTATGAAGACTTACCTGTGGATGAATTTAATTGACCTCTGTTCAAACCCCACTAGATGGCCCTCTTTTCCATTTCCCGAGGGCCTATATCGAGTCTGCAGAGAATCTGCTTATTCTTTTATGCCTACTCACTGGCTTGGATCTTCCTATTTGACCTGGTTCACGCCTGCCTTCTGAATGGCTTTCTCTGAAAGTCTTAGTAATACCTCTCATAATCAGAGGTGAAAGTGGTCAGTAACCCAAAATTAGTATAAACCATGAAATAGAAAAAGATAAGTCAGTGTCCACTAAGTAATGATTTCAATGGAGATTTTGGGGCTCACTCTTCATGAAGGAGAGGTGATGGCTGCAATAGAATTTCAAGCTAATCTATAAATTGGGGAAAATCTTAGATTTTATAGCAAATCAGATCTGCCAGAGTTTAGACTGGTAGAAGCCCCTCTCTGAAAGGTGAATGAGAACGTGTGTGCTCAACAAAATCACTTAATGGAACATCACACAGCTTTAGATATCTTCTAACTCACGTTGGGGTTTTGTTTATGGTTTTGAACAAAACTGAATTTGAATTTGCACTTACCTTTCCCTTGATTTTACTACTACAAGAAGTTTTATTTCAAAGGTGACTGCTACTGCTATTTCTCTAAACACTGTCACCAAATACATTGAGGAAATTTCTCACAGGAAAGAAACACATGATATGTTTATGAGAGCAGGTGACAGCTGCCTTGTAAGCATTCTGAATGTGGGATGACAAGGTTGACCCTTCCAAAGTTTTCTAATTTTCATCTCTTAGTGGGTCTCCAGGTTACTATACCTTGTGTTACCAGGGTAATGACAAAAAATTAGTACCTTTTAAAATCAAGCCATTTTACAGCAAAGTATAGTCCTTAATTGCCATCATGCCCCAAACAAAGAGTATGGTCAATTGGACATAAATATTATTGAACTATATTTATTTACTAAATTATCATTCTTTTTTTTTTTCAGTTTGGGTTATGAAGTCTTTTGTTAAGGGATGCACTTGAGTTTCTGGGT